CCCCAATTATATCCTAGAGCCGCCACTGGGCATACAGGCTTACTGTAAGCCTACAAGTTCCGAAAGTTGGCCTATGTAGCTGGCCTAATCTATGTTGGTTTTGTCATAAAATTGTTCTGAAATATTTCATAAGTCATGGAAATTCTATGTTCTCTGACAATGCAGTTGACAGTTCATAAATGCCACAAGCTCTGAGTGCGAAGGGGCGAAGCCCTTCTGACCCCCACCAGAGCCTTCACCCCCTGGCACCCAGCGTATGTTTGCTCGCTTATTAGGCCCCCAATAACAGTCACCACCTGGGCCCCACAGACTCCGTGAGCAAAATATAGTACACAGTATGGAAGGTTTGTTTTGAGAGTTATTTTTTTTAATTTTTTACTTTTATTTTACACTCGTTTTCTTTTCTTTCTTTCTTTCTTTCTTTCTTTCTTTCTTTCTTTCTTTCTTTCTTTCTTTCTTTCTTTCTTTCTTTCTTTCTTTCATTTTTTCTTTCTTTCTTTCCTTCTTTCCTTCTTTCCTTCTTTCCTTCTTTCTTTCTTTCCTTCTTTCTTTCTTTCCTTCTTTCTTTCTTTCTTTCTTTCTTTCTTTCTTTCTTTCTTTCTTTCTTTCTTTCTTTCTTTCTTTCTTTCGTTCTTTCTTTCTTTCTTTCTTTCTTTCTTTCTTTCTTTCTTTCTTTCTTTCTTTCTTTCTTTCTTTCTTTCTAGTTAGCCGCCAGTTAGTGCTGTACCTGATTAATATCTATCATGTGATATCGCCAGTTAGTGCCGTACTTGAGTATTAATATCTATCATGTGATTATTTCCGTGAGGGAATGAAAGTCTGAAGTCCAATAAGACGATAATGGATAGGCAGTGTCGTTTTGCAACAACATCTAGGAGAATGCGATCTACTAGCTCATGACCATTTAATGGCTTACCTAAGGCTGTTGGCGCTATGTATGGAACGCCGTTAGTACCTTCGGTTATGTGCAAACACTCTATTATGTGTAATCGCCATGACGTTATGTGGTTTGATCATTATGTTATGTGGTTTGGTCATGATGTTATGTGGTTTCTCATTATGTTATGTGGTTTTGTCATGATGTTATGTAGTTTGGTCATGATGTTATGTGGTTTGCTCATTATGTAATGTGGTTTGCACAATATGTTATGTAGTTTCGACATGACGTTCGGACGTCCTTGCGGAGTATGTGAAGAAGTGTGAATAAGAAGACGGCTGTACAAGTAAGCTTATATCAAGTTTCATTTGAAACTTTTGATTGGCTAATCAATTTTATATAGCCGGAGTTAGTTTCGAACTAGGCAAACCTTCCTAAAAAGGTACACTTTCTCCCTCAAAAGGCATTTTCTATGAATGGAATGACCTGTTCGAAGCACGAACTCCTGTAGACCAAACCCGGTACTGTTACGATTTTTAATCGTGCAGGAAATCCACTCACTGTGTCTTTTTCTTTTTTCTCTATATAGCGAGGCCTGAAGAATGAGATACAATTAAGTACTTTCTAAGTAATTGAGTTTATACTGATTTTGTTATTGTTGCACATCTTATACGGTTGTGCATCTGTTATTTAAGAGAAGCAATAAAGTTACTTACTTACTTACTGATCTTTTCCAGAGGAGAAAAACCTTGAATTTTGAAGAACTTAAAGGTTATTTTAAAAAAGTTCATTTCCGGCCTAGGAATCAAATTTTTTCATTTTGAAGCACCCTCTTTCAAATCCTGGATCCGCCCCTGATTATTATGTGGTGGTAATACTTCATTCATCACAGACAGTGCATGGGTCACTAACAGTTGGATGGATGATTTTGTTTTCTCATTATTTTATCATGTAAATCAGGGATTTTAAGGTATATCAAGATGGATGTTTTCCTCATCATTACTTAACTCTCATTTGCTTGTATACGGTAAGTATTTGAAGTTCGTGTGGAAAAATACTAAATAAAGTACAATATTTTGAAAGTTACTTTGGTTCTTCCAATATTTTTTTTTTACTATATACATTAATTTGTTTGACTGAAGAGAAAACGTTATATTTACACGTTATATTTACATACCAGACTGAGGAAGGGCTGGAGAACATAGTCATAGTCAAAACAAACATATCATTAACTATATGTTCTCATTTAATAAGAATTACATATGCCGAATACCAATGCATGGATGGATGAATGTTTATAATGAATTGTCGTCTTCTAGTATAGGAAGGCCTATTAAATATTATTTTTTTATAAACTCCCAGGCTTTTTCTTTTATCAACATTCAAAATACTAGCGTGATTTAGAGTAAACTTTCTCAAAACCAACAAAATATATAGCATATTTTCCAATAATGTTATTCTTATAAAGTCTTGCCTTTATATTTCGTTTAAAAACGGATATAATAATTAGACTTTATGCACTCTTTTCCAAATACAGGTCTTAATTACTGTTTTTATATGCTGCCATCACTCATGCATCTACAACAGACGCTATTGGCGTTTGCCCCATACAGCGGATCGGGCGTCACGCTGACTCGCGTGTATTAAGAATAGCAGTGGACTCTCTTCTGTTGTTATACTCTTTGCTTGTATGAAATAAATCTCTGGCGCGGTGGTAATAAAACTAGTGTGGTCTTCCCACTCGCTCTCGGCCAATCAAAATTTTCAAATGAAACTTGATATAAGCTTACTTGTACAACCGTCTTCATATTAACACTTCTTCACATACTCGCAAGGACGTCCAAACGTCATGTCGAAACTACATAACATAATGTGCAAACCACATAACATAATGAGCAAACCACATAACATCATGACCAAACCACATAACATAATGAGAAACCACATAAAATCATGACCAAACCACATAACATAATGACCAAACCACATAACATAATGACCAAACCACATAACGTCATGGCGATTGTACATAATAGAGTGTTTGCACATAACCGAAGATACTAATGGCGCTCCATACTATATGCTGGATTTAGCCATGAGCAAGATCACTGTAAAGAGGATTAATAGTATATCGCATACGGGGCGGTCTTGGATTTGTATGCGGTTGCTTTAAAAGTAGTAGTAGTAGGAGGCCTACATATAATTAGCTAAATATGCCGTTTACAGAAACAGTACAATCCTGGGGAAAGATAGCTATAGATTCAGCATTAGAATACGATACACCAAAAGTAGTGCATATCAAGAGCAAGAAAGTCGGCTTTATCAATCGCTTGATTCAGATTGGTGTTATTGTTTATGTTGTCGTGTAAGTTTCATTCTGCACTGTCTTGTCACCGGCTCTGCTGAGCACATGATAACGGAAATGGTTAGGCCTAGTCTACACTAAACTTAGCCTAGGGCCTATGAACGACTCTCCTGAACCCTTGTTATCCTAGATAGATCGGGATGGATCAGTGGTGGTGGTCCTAACCAAGTGGCTGCCTAGACTAGAATTTAAAGGGCTGCATCAAACGTTTTGTTATACCGACCTTAAAACAGACATACAATTACAAAGCATTTGCTGTTCCAATGATTAATAATAATATTGGGTACAGAATAGAATATTGATTGATAATACGTGTGTTGTAATTTATCTGGTGGAAGACATTGGACTCAGGTGAATGCATTCTCATGCTCTAATTGTAACTGAATTCAGCAAGTAAAATTGGGTTTTTTGTGGTTGTGAAAAGAGGGAAAGCCCAGTCCACTAGCCTATGCCTATAATGTATAACTAGTGCTCTATCCACACAATCAATTTTTTTTTAGAAATGTGGTATACCCATATTTTGGTGTAATATGATGTCATTATGCCCATATATGGGCACATCACACCAATTTTTCACATAAAATTTGCTGATAGTGTGGAAAGAACATAAATTAGTGTTGTGTTTCTCTTGCACAGATGGGCTATCATACTCCAAAAAGGATACCAGGAAACAGATGAAGTTATTAGTGCTGTTACAACCAAGCTCAAGGGAGTTGCCTACACAAACATAACAAACCACCCCAACCTAAATATTGAAGATGTCACCCCATACAATAGAATCTGGGATCCAGTGGATTATGTCATACCCCCAATGGTAAATATTTGTGTTTTTAAATGTTTATAAGAACGGTGAGGATGAAAATGGAGGTCTCCGAGTCCTGACACTGATATTTAACACACTCACCAACAGGTCTCAGCCTGACAGCAATTAGCTTTAAGTGACCCATGTGTTATAAATTTGCTACAAAAAATAATAAAAAGTGAACATAACACTTTTCCAGACACTGCAAGTGTTTCTATAATTTTTATCATTGTCTGTTATAAAGATAGGTTCAACATTGGTAAATACACCAATATGTATTGTCCTTTGCAAAATACCAAATAAGTATAAAAATCATTTTTAAAATTAACTTGCTCATTTTGAAGTAACATAAAAATTGTAGTGTATTAAAAAAATGTTTACCCATAATTTTACAGAAAAAAATGATAGAAACACATCTAGTCACCGAAAGCATTTTATTATTTTTATTATCATTATCCAGTATAAAAATCATGGTGCAATTTTTTAATTCAATAAAATAATTTCTATGCTCAAGTTAATAATTTGTATGCTACCAAAATGAGCAAGTTCATTTTTAAATTATTTTGTTTGATTTTTTTTTTATTTTCCAGGAGAATACATGATTAAATGAGCAATTTCATTTCAAAATTATATTTCATGATTTTTTTTTGTCAATCAAAATTTACATCAAGAGGTGTGCTGTAATAGTATTATGACTATATAACACTGGTCTATCAATGCACATGGCTATTAGGACTTGTAGTAGGATTTCTAAAATATATGTAACAATTCATACCATTTTGATTTTCTTTTCAGATGGACAATGCATTCTTTGTGATGACAAATATGGTAATAACACCTGAGCAATCAAGAGGAAGATGTGCTGAGGTGAGAGGTTAAATAAGTGTTTAATTTAATATAAGTACCTAGAGGTCAAGTTTGAGTGCTCATTGATGATACACAAAAACCAAGGTCCAAGACATCATCACTTATTCTACTGGATCAACATCATGGAATGCTACCTGTATGTACAAATTGAACTCTGGACTTATCATATATCATATATGTATGTTTTATAATGTTCTACTTTTATAAATTTAATTGTTTAATTTCTTTTCTGTCAATTAAGGATCCATTAATGTATGGTGTCAGATGTGAAGATAATCCTGATCTTAATTGTGTCAAAGGTGACCCTGTCCCTAATGGAAATGGTGAGCTAAATATTTTATTATTTATAAGAGAATTTATATACAGTCTTATTAAGTTTTGATAGTTTAGTATAAATATTACCCAAAGCTATTGCTCGTGAACATCTTTAAGACAACACAAATAGTACACACACACCATTTTATCACATTCATAAGCAGTGAAATTTAAAAATATAATGGCTATTCAATAATCAATTCCATCCTATTTGTCAAAGTATTATATTTGTATGTACATTTTATTATTTTATATGACTTTCTTTATTTAAAATTTAATTTAGTTTGTTTAGTAAATGTATTTTTAATGTATGTATGGTAAGTTTTATCTTCTTGTTTGGAGGTTTTGATGAATAGATAAATAAATGAAATAAATATTTTTTTATCTTTTCTTTATTTATCATTTTCCTGTCCCCTGTCCCTTCTGAATTCAAAATTCCAAGAACTTGTGTTTTCAGATCATGTTTTCTTTATGTGCGTTCTAAATTATGATGGTATATTCCTAAAACACTTTTTTAATCCTGTTTTTATGACATTTAATAGAAACCATCAAAGCCCATTTGAAATCAAGGAAATTATTAAAAAAATAATCAATCAATTCCATTATCTAATTGCTCAGATATTTCTAAGATAAGAACTATTTAATTGTATATAGTATTTACAGTCTGTTTTTTTTTCCTTTGAATTAATATTGTCTACTTTTTTTGTGAAACTTTTTATATATTTATATCTGTTTTTATAGTATTAATATTGTAAATAACAATTGATTTTAATTAGTAAATTTTGTATAGCTATGGTAAATACTTTTTTTTTTCTAATTAGAAATAGTATTTTTAATGTTAAACATTTTTTTTGTAATTTGATTGTACAGTAATACAAATAGTTTGTTTTGTGCTACCTTTTTTGTATTACTGTATATGTTTTATAGAATATAGGTCTGCTATCAGTTAATTTCATTGTGAAATGCGATAGGAGGAAGTAACAGTTTGCTGCCAATCATTACTTGAGTGCTAACTATTGAAACTAGAATAAAAAATTAACTAGAACTGATAGTGATTCTGTCAGTTTTATTGAATAATGGAAACACTTATAACACAACATTGGTGTATTGATTCTTCAGAAAGTCAATAAACCATGTTATTAATACATTCATGTTTTGTCACAGGGGTTTATTTAAGAGCCGGCAGCCGGCGCATTCGATCGGCTACTACGATGTTTTCGCCGGCTACTTCAATCAATGCTGTACAAAAATTAATACAAAAACCACCAATATAAATAGCGCAACAGGCCTGTAAAGAACCTTATTTACCTACACGAAGTTAATTTGCAATAGTATGCATTCATTTCGATGTTCCTTTCTGTTGAAAGTTCGTTAAAATGTCTACCAATTTTCAGACTCCATTTCATGAACTCGCGGCGTAAACAAAGTTAAAGTTCAAAGTTCGGCAGTCGCGTCTGGGTGAGTCCATCAAAGAAGCCACACCTCCAAATCACATGTTAGCCAATAAGATAATAGAATTTTCTCCTCCACCACATGCTCAGGTGATGACGATATACATCGCCCAAACTCTTTTACTGTACATTTGGCTTCCGGGTTTTCTTACCGCGGAGAAGAAAAAAACAGATCGTCGTTTTAAAATTAATTTGTGTATGACTATGAACCTTTTATTTTCATTTCATTTTTATTTTACTAGCCCTCTTTGTGATGACATA